TTTTAGTTTAATTATATTTTTAATTCTCAAATTAGAAAAATATATTGTAATTATTTTAATTTAATAAAAAATAATTTAAATTTTTAATACTAAAATTAAAATATTAAATAATAATAAATTTAATTCTTTAAATTTAGTATTTATAAACTAAAATTATAATTTCTCTGTTTTAAAAAATTAAAATAAATATTTAAAAATAAAAATAAAAACTAGTATTATATTAAATTTATTAAAAGTATAATTAAATCTCTATTTTCTTATGCAATTTTAAATTTTTTTAATGAAAATCCAATATATAAAAAAGTTGAAATTTTAAAAAGGCACAACCTTAACTTATATTAACTATTTTTTTGAAAAAATTGACAAGAAAAACTTGGCTTTGAATAAAAAAGTTAATAATTTTGAAGTTATTTAAGTGATGAAGTTTCCAAATGTGATCTATAAAGTTATTGAGCAAAATTAGAGGAATGTTGAATATAAATTTAAATATATTTTTAATTTATTTAAATATGATTTATTTTTAGTATTTATAAAATAGATTAATTTTAAATTTTTAACTTTTCTAGCCGTCTATTTTTAATCTTTGTTATTAATTGTGTTAAAAATGAAAAATATTAATTAGTATACTTAAACTAAAAAATATTTTAACTAAAGATAAATATATTTTATTAAATAATTTAATTAAATAATATATTTATTATCTAATGTATATTGATATAATTTTTTTTGGTATATCAATTATATCACAATAACCATGGTTAAGTAATTAATAATAATAAAGTAATAAATTTAAAAATTAGATTAAAAATAAAGTATTATAAAATAAAATTGTAATAATTTGATTAAAATTGTAATTTTTAATTAATTAAGTTAATGAGGAATTAAAATGTGATAATTTGATGTGTTTACTTTTTTTAATATAAATTTTTAAAATATAATTTAATTTCAATTGAAAAAAAAATTAAAGAATATTTGTTATTAAAATTTTCTTAAACAATGTATTAAATAGTTAATATCACTCTAGTCTTAATTTATTACAATTTAAATTTTTAATAAATTTGATTTATTTTTAATAATATTTTTATTTTAGTAATTTAAAATTAAAGTTAATCTTCATTTTGTTAATATTGAGACCAAAGTTTATTTTAAAAGTATATTTTAAAAATTAAATTATTTTTAAAAAATAAATTACTTTTAAAAAATAAATTGTAAAAAATATACTAAAACAATTAAAGTATATCTATAAAAAATAAATTTAAATATAATAAAAAATAATATTCATTAGCGATCGATTTCAATTCGATCGCAATTTTCTCATTAGCGACCAATTTCAATTAAGTCACTATTTCAATTTGTAATTCGGTCGCTAAATCAGTCGCTAAATGATTTTTTTATTTTAGTATGGAATAGCCACCAATTTAACGACCGAAATTTTGCGACGCAAATTATTGGTCGCTATTTCGGTCACTAAATAAAAGAGTGAAACCAAATCATATTTCGGTGGCTAAATCGGTCGCTAAATTGTGATCGAATTAACTCGGTTGCTAATTGCGACCGAATTAAAGCGGTCGCTAAATCGGTTGCCAATTGCGACCGAATTAAATCGGTCGCTAAATCGGTCGTTAATTGCGACTAAAATTAAATCGGTCGCTAAATCAGTCGCTAATTGCGACCGAATTAAATCGGTCGCTAAATCGATCGTTAATTGCGACCAAAATTAAATCGGTCGCTAAATGTGTTTTTTCTTGTAGTGAACATAACTAACTCGTGTCGAATCTCACAGGGACAAAATTATATAAACGTACCCATTATCACACATCATTTTTCTAAAAATAATAAATAACAGTAAATAAGGGATTGATGAAAGAGTGAAAAAAATTGATGCATAATAATAAAAATTAAAAGCAAATTACAATAGAATAATAATGCTAATTAAAACTAAATTGAAGCAAATTTAAATAAATTAAAAATATAACTAGAACAAAGTGCTTTTAATTTAAAGTGTAAAATAAATAATTATTTTAAAAGAAAAGAGTGCAATAATTAAATCTAAAATTTCGAAAACAATAACTCTAAAACTAAATTAAGAATTATAATTTGAATCAGAAAAGAGATGAATTCAAAATAGAAATTAAACAAGTATCTAGAATGAAATAAAAATTTTAAATAATTAAATAGCAAAAATTAAAATGAGTATTGAATGAATAAAATAAACAAAAAAATATAAACTAAAAAATTCAACAGAAATTGTAAATTAAATAAAAGAAAACAAATAAGAAGTGTAGTAATAGTAGATGAGATCGTCTAACTAAAAACTAAATTAAAAATTGATAACGGAAAAGAAAATGGAGACGAGACAAAACAATAACTTACCCCGAAGCAGGGGATTGTGATTGTGTAGTCATCAAACCTCTATTTATAGAGGATTGAACAAGAAAAATCAAGCCTAAAATTAATTATAATAAAAATAAAATGTTTTCCAAATTAAAAATTGTAAAATTGGATTATTGTGACAAGAAATTTTTAAGACTAATTTGGAGAAAATAACTGCATCTTTCTTGTTTTGAGTGATAAAAACTGATTTGTATTTAATTTTTTATTTTCGTTGGTCTTTAATTCAGCTAAATTGGATTAATCCCATATCGGTTAATTTGTTTGATCCAAAATTTTCATTTATAATATTTCACAGTGGATTGCACAAGTAAACTTATGCTTCTGGGAAAAGTGAAACTCAACTATATCAATTTGGATATTTATTTTCATCAATGGGTCTATTTCAAATTATCTTTCTCCTACAAAAGAAAAAAATGTATTGTGAATCTATGTATTATATTATTTTTTTATACTAAAATTTATACAAAATGCAATAAAATAAAAAAAATTGAATTATATTATCTTTTTAATAAAAATATGTTAAATATAAGGTTTAGGAATAAAATAATTAACTTAAACATTGTTATTAATTCAAAAAAGAAAGAGTACAATGAGATGAATATACGGAGGAATATCAGTGTCCTTCAGACCTAAGATTTTTGTGGATAACGTGAATATGAATACACCATTTCCTTCGTCATGTTTTAAATATTGTTATCTTAATTAATTCAAAATTGATTTGAATTTATAAAACTGTCTAAGATTTTTTATTTTTTTTTATGCCGGAAAATCAACCACAACTAATGGCGAATATTGGAACATGTGGTGCTGCAGCTTGTGGGGCATTTTTTGTGATTATCAAGGAAATTTTATTGGCATGGTAAGTGGGAAAAGATAAAATGTTTTCTATCACAAAGAACATAAAAAGTCGAGAAAAATGAAAGGGATTAAAAACCTATAAAAATGTAATAAATGAGTAATATTTTCTCGAAACAATAAAACATTATAATAAATCTCTCATTTGATGATTTAAGTAACTGATTTAGGAAAAGCTCTTACGTAACTTCGTTAGTTCAAACACTAAATTTTACAGAATATAAGCATCACTATATTATGCATGCACACAATATATAAAATTGAAATATACTTTTATTTTTAATTTTATTGTTGTTATTATTATTATTATTATTATTATTATTATTATTATTATTATTATTATTATTATTATTATTATTATTATATGTCAATTTATTTATTTCTTGTTAACGAGTTAAAAAAATGTTATATATATAAATTTTATTGAGGATTATATTTTTGAAAATATAATTTAATATTTATAATTTGATGATTTAACAAAAAAATATTCATATATTATAATTTTCATTATAAAAAATTTAACTTCTTTATAAATTCAGTACGATAAATTCAGCGCAAAATTGGAACTTATATCTATACATTTTTTTGTCAGACCATGAATCTGATTTAGCATCATGGAGTAGCTGTTAAACCAGACGAATAAATCCAAAATTATCAAAAGATATGATTAATGATTTCACCTAAATGTTTTGCATGTCACAATATATAGTAGTTAAAAAATGTAGGTGTTTTAATAATCAACAGATAATAAAAATATAGACAAATTAAGAATAGTTGCATCTATTTCGGAATCTTAGCCACAAACAACAAGACAATTTCAGCAAACAAAAATAATCACAAAAACATAAACAAATAAATAGGATAATGACTTCCTTTATAATTGTTTTTTCTTCGTTTTTAGTGACTCTTCCACCGTCTTATCTCCATATTCTTTTCTTTCTTTCTCAAAAATTCAAATAGAAATTGATGATATATATATATATATATATATATATATATATATATATATATATATATATATATATATATATATATATATATATATATAAAGCAGAAATTATATATAATTTTGTTTTTCAACTGAAGGGTTCGAATCTTATTATACATCTATTAGAGAGAAAACTTGTTAAAAAAAAATTATCGTCTTAATTCATTTTATTTAATTTTTCTAACGATTGAAAAAGAAAAAAAAAGAATGTTCTTTAAAATAATTATATACTTACCAATTTATCCTGTTTTATGGTACAAGGATGTGATATGATTATAAAGTATGAACTCCACGGTTTGAATGATATTTTTAAATAAAAATCCAATAAACTTTTTGGAAGGAGGTTTCCTTAGCATGGATCATTAGAAATTGAACTTACGAATATTAATTATTTTAAGATTAAAATTAGAATAAATTTTCTAATATTAACAATAATAATAATAATTTTTTAATTGTGATAAGATAGGATAATTGAGTTTGATAAAAAGGTGAATTCGTTCGTCTGAAAACCTTAACTAATTAAAGAAAATGACTTAATCAATAGCTTACCACCAAATAGTTTAAGGTCGGCTAAATTATTGTGGTGAATATATTCATTTATATCTCATCAAAGGTATGGCCAAGTTCCGCCCCTACAAACTCTTTATTTTATTTTATCATGTCGTTTGTAGGAAAAAAAAAATGCCATAATAGGTGCCCATAAATTGCGACATGCAAGAAGTAATTGACACACTAAAATTCAAAACTAAATCAAATCACAAGAATGGTTTTTGTTAGGCTTGCTCCTGTGGCTCTCTTCTTCCTTACCACTTCCTGTATGCAGTTTCCCATTCTTTTTCTTTTCATCATTTAACATATTCTAAATATACACATGTGCCTTGTTCTAACTTTTGCATATCATTTTCAGTATTCTCGATGAAGAACACAGAAGCATCAGGTGCTTTTTGTGCGAGTAACTTTTGTTCGCTGTCTCCAGATTGTGGCATTGGTTGTTACTGCCACTATGGTGGATGCTATAATAGAGAACTTGCTTCTGCTGCGAAGATGATGGAAGAAAATTCAGACCTATGTGAATCTCATGAAGAGTGCAAGAAGAGAGGAAGTGGAGACTTCTGTGCTCGTTCTCCTAATCCTCTAATACAGCATGGCTGGTGTTTTCACTCTCATTCTGAAGCACTGAAACAATTCTTCGCAATTACCACGCAATATTTGTATGCCAAGTGAAAATTGGTGATAAATGATGCATCTACTATTTTTAATAAATAAAAGCTTATGATGCATCTACTGCTTCAAATGAAAGAGTGTCAATGTGTGTAGGTGAAATAACTGTATAAACATGGTCATTAGTGTATGACCTAATCTCTTAAACAAATAATGGTGAGAGGGGCTGCGGTTTACTCTTCCTTCCTGGATAATCCTTGTACTAATTTTTGTTGAAATATAATCTATCATAAAAGTTGCATGCTTCAACTCCTTTCATTCAAAAAATTAAAACACACGATTTAATATCTTGTTTCACTCATGAAGCAGCTTGATTAATAAATATAAACATTAAATTTCAGTCGTATTCTTTTCTAGCATTTGTGATAAGAAACTTCACTTTTAACTACTGCTCTTCCAAAATTACATTTTCAACAGCATTTAGCTGTTTTGTGTGTTAAGATTATCTTTCTTTTTATTTTTATTATAATATCTTAACCACAAAACAGTTAAGACAAAATTCAGCAAAGAAAAATAATCAAGAAAATATAAACAATTAAACAGGATAAGGACTTCCTTTATTATTGTTGTTCTTTGTTGTTCCCTTTCTCGTGACTCTCCCACCCTCTTGTCTCCATCTTTTCTTTGTCTAGTATCTTTCTTTTTCATCAATTCACATTAAATTATTTGGAGGAAAAATCTTATAATTAATGAAACAATTCAGTCTCTAATAACCAATCAAACGATAGTGTTGAATTATTAGCAAGCGTACCAAATTATCAATAGCAGTATAGTATTTCGATTAAATAAAAGTCGATCCCACGAGAAACAATTTCAATGAAAATTCTCAATTATGCTTACTAAGTATATTAAACAGATTGAGTTTCGCAAATAAGAGTTGAATTGAAATTAAATGACAAAGAACTGTAAATTGTTGAGAAAATATCAATTAAAGGTACTTAGGATTGACTTCCTCTTTATCCCTCTTTTGTAATGACTAAATCAATTAAGAACGTCAATTAACCTAACAATGTTGATGTCACCTACTCAAATCATCCATGTTGATTCCTCACACATGAAATTCATAAGAAAACCTAATAAATGTTGATTCCTCACACAATTAAGAGATTTCTCAGCATTAGGTTTAGGGTGTTAAGCAATTGATACATTCATTTCATTCCTAGAAATTAACGTAACAAATATTCTTACCGTGATCTAGGGTTCAAGATATATTTTCCAATCATACCCCAAACATCAAGAATAAATCATTCCAAAGCATAAATGATAAGAATAACAACATCAAAGCATAGATTAATATCTCAAAATATCACCATGATACAAAATAGTTCAGAGGAAGTGCACTGAATCCTAAGAGAATGAAGTTAGTCACTCATGTTGGTCATTACAATGCTCTAATTGATGAAGAAGTGAAGAATTGATGAAGATTAGATGAAACTCTAATAGTAGTCGTGCCTCCTCTTCTCCAAGACTGCTTGCTTTTCTCAAAACATATCTTATCTTTTTATAAGAGAATTTGAGTCGGGTCTCGCATCATTTATTCGCTTAAGCGTTCTTCTTTCTTTCAATTTTTCTCTAATTATGCTGACAATTATGTTATTTACTCTTGTATCAAGGTATTATCGAATTCATCCTATATTGGGAGAAAAATATATTAGAATTACATAAGTTAAATGGTTTCATAACAATTTAAGACATAATTATATTAACTTTTTACCACTTAACAGATAGTTTAAGGAAAATGAGATAAACATACCTACAATGTGAATAGGTACATAAGAATGAACTGACCCACATCACATCTTTAGTTAGTTCTTTGAAAGAATGAATTGAAGAATTCTTAATAGATAGAGGAGATACATGGCTTTTACATTATCTGTTTAAAGCATCACACATTGAATATAGGCAAGAAAATTCCTATGTTGATTATGGATTCATGAATAGACAAAGTTTGTCTTGGTTGGAAAATATTTCAATTGGTTGTAGATGGATGGAGAATTTATAGAGGATAATTTATATTAATAAAATATTTAAAATATTTAATTATAAATTTGGTTGTTTGATAATATATGTTATTTTGATCTTTATTTTCTTATTAATTAAGAGTATTTTTTAAGTTAATATTTTTTTTCATAAATCATTTAAGAGTATTTTTTAAGTTAATATTTTTTTTTCATAAATCATGTATTTACCATATTTTTATTAAAAACATAGTATAATTCATTTTTTTAATTTATTATATTTTGCACAGTTTTAATATAAGAAATAATATGCATGCATATATTTGTAGTGCCTATTTTTTTTTCTTTTGTAGGAGAAAAGTAATTTTAGATGAATCAAATTAAAGACTCAAATTGATAAAGCCGAACTTCATTCTTCTCAGAACTTCAAATTTGTTAACTTGTGTGATAATCCAATTTAGCTAAATTAAAGACCAATTAAAATAAAGAATTAAATGCAAATCAGTGTTAGATCACTCAAAATAGGAAAAAAATGGTTATTTTCTCCAAATCAATTCCAAAAATTTCTCGTCAAAGTAATTTAATTTTGCAATTTTTAATTTGAAAAATATTTGATTTTATTGTAATTAATTTTAAACTTAATTTCTCTTTTTCAATCACTTATAAATAAATGTCTAATGACTACATAATCACAATTTCTCCACGAGGTGTTATTTTATCTTGATCCCGTTTTCTTTCCTATTCTCGACTCTTAGTTTAGGTTTTAGTTAGGCGAGTTAATTTACTCGCTATCTGCAGTTTGATTTGTTATCTTTTATTTAATTTTAAATTTCAATTAAAATTTTCAATTTATATTATTCTATTTACTCAGTACTCATTTAAATTTATAATAATTAATTATTTAGAATTTTTATTATATTCCAAGATCTTGCTTAATTTCAATCTTCAATTCATCTTTTTTTCGATTCCAATCATAATTATCAATTTAGTTTAGAGTTATCACTTTTAGAAATTTTAAACTTACTTATTGTATTATTTTATTTTAAAGCAATTTTTTATTTTACACTTTATTCTAGCAATTTTTTAATTTAATTAAAATCACTTTGTTTTAATCTTATAAATTTCAGTTATTTAAATTCTATTACAATTTAATTTTAATTATTGTTCTATTGTACTTTGATTTTAATTTTTATTATTCTGCATCATTTTTTTTCTTTCACTCTTTCACCAACCCCTTATTTACTGTTATTTATTGTTTTCTTGAGAAAATGATGTATTGTAATGAGTATTTTCCTATAATTGTATCCTTGTGAGATTTGATATGGTTTAGCTATATTATATTAGTTTAACAACTTGTTTATTTTTTTATCAGTATTTTGTGCGATCAAAATATTGTCGTCATTTGGGTAAAAAATTTGAAAAGTAATTAAAATTTTACAAATTAATAAATGTAGTTTTATTAGAATTTCAAATTCTACTTAAAAAGTAGGAATTTAAAATTCTATATATGTTTTTCATTCTTCAAATTAATGCCTTTTCTTTTTATATTTTATCTTTAACTCAATCTCTATTGAGATATCTCGGGTTGACCTAATTCAACTTAGATAAACATGAAACCTCATTTGAACTAATCTGACATGTTTTGAACATACTTGGACCTTTCTAACCTGACTGTTCTCGATTTGCTTAGTTTTGTATTAGCTTAATCTAATCCATCTTGACTTATCTAATATCATCAACCCTTTTTGATTAAATTTTACCCAACTATCCAAAGTATATAGACTTGATCACCCCAATATAACCTATCCCAATTGTCTCATCTTAATATTGTTCGATGTATCTTGATTTGAACCCTCCTAACTCAGCACATCTTGCATTGACTTACCTAACCTATGTCATCTTTATTTGCCTTATTCGGTTAGGATCGACTTGACTTATCAAATATAGCAATCTAGTTACACAAAATACTTATATAAAAAGAATAACAAGTATTAAATTAATACAAGTATAACTAACCCGTGTTAAATCTCACAATGATACAATTATAGGAACGTACTAATTACCAAATATCATTATCTCTAAAAGCGGTAAATAAGGGGTTGATAATAAGAAAATGAAAGAGAAAAAATAAATTAATGCAAAATAATATTAAAATTAAATTCAAGCAGAATAATGAAAATTTAAATAACTAGAATTATAAAAATAAAACCAAGTGCTTTTAACTTAATTCAACACTTTCCGAAAAAAATGTAGGATAAAAAATTGCTTTTAATGGAAACAAAATTAATTCAAACAAAATATTGGAGTATCAATTAAATTCAAAATTGCTAAAATTAAGTTGAGAAGTGATTGGAAAAATTGCATATGCTAATCGGAGAGTGAAAAAACAATTATAGTCGAACAGTGAATTAAATTAAACAAAACAATTGGATTAAATACGTAAATACTAATAAAAAAAGGAAATAACGTAAAATCTATGCGGGAGTAAATTTGGAGAAGTTGTATACAAATAAAATAAAAATGTAGACAATTGTGAGTGGTTGTGAACGAAATCGGAAAATTGAAAACCAGAATTAAGCTACCTAAGTACTAGAATAAAATAAAATTACTAAACAAGAAGAGAATATAAATTAAATTGAGCACGAGTTGAATAAAGCAAAAAAAAAAAAAAAAACTGGAAAGTTCAATAAAAATTATAAATTAAATAATAAAAGAGAACAAATAGAGAGTGTAATGATTACCCACTGAACTAGCCTAATTAAATAACAAAACTAAAAAATAAATGGGAATGAAAACGAAAGAGAAGAAGATAATGATGAGATAAAACAACAACTTGCCCAAAGAGAAGATGATCTTTTTGCTCTTGTCAAGCCTCTTATTCATAAGAAAGTGATTAGAGAAAATTATTAATGAATTAATCACAATAAAATCAAATATTTTCTAGATTAAAAATTACAAATTTTGATTATAGCTGGCAGAGAGAAAAATTATAGGATTGATTGAAATAATTTGCTTCTTTTGTATTTAAATGATTATGTGTTGATT